CATGAGAAATGATGCCATATCATACAAATAACACAAGTATGGCATGCTAGAAGGCCTAAAACACAAGGCTAATAAGGGGCACTACACAAGAGCCATACAAAGCAAGGCATGTATGACCAAAACCACTCAAATAAGACCTAAAGCATGTTAAATCAAAGCCAAAAATGTGCTGGAGTGGAGCCAAAACATGCTAGAATTATAGGTCAAAACACCAAACAAGCTAGGCTAGTGAACAAGTTTGCACTACAAGTGCATAAACCATGCAAGAGGTGACTTTGTCGACCAAAATCAGAGCTAAGGCATGCGAAAATATGAGTAAAAACCTGCTGGAGTGGAGCCAAAAACATGCTAAAATGGTGGTCCAAAGCATAGAGCATGTTAGGCTAACTAAGATGATTGCACTACAAGTACATGAAGCATGTAAGAAGCAACCAAACCAACCCAAAACAAAGTTATATCATGGCAAATAATGGCTAAAAACATGCTTGAACTAAGCAAATTCAAGGCACAAAGGCATGCTACTTTGCAAGGCTACTAGTAGGATTACACTACAAGTACTAGAAGCATGCAAGAGGTGACCAAGACAGACAAAAACAGAGCCATGGTAGGTCTAAAAAGTCACAAAAAAGTGCTGAAACAATGCCTCAAGAAGATAGAAATGCATGCTCTTTTGATGAACCATCAACACAAGCAAACAAGAGAAGAGGAGGGGGGACAACCCCCTCCTATTTTGGGCCTCAAAACTACAATTCTACCATTGAAAATCCACTAGATTTCAGTGGTTAAAAGGGTAAACAAATGTGGTTTCAAAAGCTTAGAGAGTTGGCTCCAAAGGCTTTACAAGCCAAAGAGCAAAGGGAGAGACAACCCCATAACACAAAAGGGGCTTAAACCACCCTTTTTAGGACTGAAAAATAAAGTTTTGTTCAGTTTAACACCACCCCCAAAACAGCCCCAAAGTAGTGTGAAAAGATGGCCAAGCAAGCATGCAAAATAAGCTAAAAGGGAGAGAGTTCTTACCCTTGATGCATAGCTGCAAAACAAGCACAAATTTGAGCTCAAATCACCTTTTGGAGCTCAAACAAAGTCCCAAAGTATCTCAGCTCAATGGTGGTCAAGTTTGGTTAAAGGTGCTTAGGCAAATGAGAGGTGTATCTAAGCTTTCATGCACAAAAGGGCAAGAGGAAGTGAACTTCTAGAGAGAGAGATGCAGAGATTTAGCTTTGAAAATTCTAGAGAGAGAGGACTTTTTAGAGAGAGAGGCTCCCAAAATTGTTTCAAAATGTTCTATCCTTTGAAAAATGAGTGATATGACTCCATATATAGCAAAAATCAAGAGCTTGGTCGAAATATCTCAATTGGAAATATCCGGAGCAGTGTACAACAGCTGAAGGAGAAATATTTGCCAATTCTGGGCTTTCTGGACATTTCTGGCCGACCGGCCACTTTGTTGGCTGATCGGCCGCCTTTTGTGGCTGATTAGGTTCACTCTTGGCCGACCTATGGCCGTTGAGCTCCAATTGTGGCCGATGCACTCCCATAGAGGCCGACGGCAAAAACTAACCCTAGTCCCCGACTTGCACTAGCATAAATCCTTCATCTGGACTCCTTTTCAAGTCATTCTTGTGTCTAAAATGAAGCCTCAGAAGTAAGATTTCCAATGGTGGCATGTTTGCATAAAAATTCCAAGTGTGCTAAGAGATATCCTTCTTTTAGTGAAGGCTGCTCAGTTTCGGTCCAACCGGAATGATGCCCAACTTCCAATAACCATATCTCCCTCATCCGGACTCGGCTTTAGGAGATTCTTGAGTAAAAAATGAAGCCCCGGAAGTGTTATTTCCAATGTGGTGGCCTCATAGCTTAAATCCAAGTGTATAGATAGATAGACCTAATTTAGCGAGGACCGCTCGACTCTCTCTTAGCGATTCATACCCACCTTCTTCTTCAACTTGGTTTCTTCCCTCCACTCCTCTTTCCTTCAACTTCAAACCCCTAGATAAGGTGTTTTGAAAGATTTTTCAAAGATTTCACCTCTCTTTCTTTCATTTCCACTTTGTCCTTGCTCGGTTTATTGAAAAGCGCAACATTTGACAAAATACGAGCCTCGGAACATCGTAGAAACTTTTTTTCAAAAATATTTTGAAAGAGAGGGTTTTAAGGTTTAAAAACCATTCAAAATAGTTTTAGTCCAAAAATGGGGTGTGAGGTTAGGATTTGACTCTTCTATTGCCGAAGAAATCGAACCTTTGCATAGCATAGCCTGCATCACTAAGTAAGCCATTAGTAGCGCCCAAGTCTTAAGGTCGGTCAAAAATGGAGTGTCTACACTGACTATTTAAAATTACTGAAAGGACATCATTCATTACCCCTTTACATCGTTGTTATTCATTGGGCTCTAGCTTGCCATTTTATATATGTATGCCGATGATCAAGTGTAAGACCGGACTTAGTGGCTTCGACCTGATCTCTACCTTTTGTTAAGCCAACTTTTGTGCCTCACTGCGAGGTTCCAACCGGGTCAAGCTTCAAGACTTCATGGGTGGTTTAGAGTGCACCCTATTGTCTTTATAATTAAGTGTTTTCAAATCTTACTAAGATTTGTTCTGAATGTTATTATGACTATTTCATTTTGTTATTGGGAATTAATCCCTAGATTGTATTTTGTGTTGTACATAAGCTTGATCTTGGACTTATGTGTACATATATAAGTATATCGAAGTTTGTCTTGTTCCATTTAAATCATCACAGCTCATTGGACATTATATTTTATTATTGATAGGCTTCCGCCAGCCTCTATTATTGTATTATTGTTAAGCAGGCCTTTGGTAATCTCGAATTACTAGTTAGTCACTTCTCTAATCCCTTGGGGCAGGGGCTGGGTCGTGACAAAAAGAAAGAAGGAAATTTGGGGTTTGAGAGTTGGTGATTGGTAGTAGGTGTGGTGGTGGTTCTGTTGGTTGTGGTGGTGGTGGTTCCTGTGGTTGTGGTGATAAAGAAGGTGAGAGACAGAAGAGGGTTAGAGAAGAGAGTCGAAAATTTGGGGTTTGAGATCGGCGGTAGGTGTGGTGGTGGTGGCGGCGATTCTTGTGGTTGCGGTGATGAAAAAGATAAGACATAGAGAGAGAGTGACTGAGGAAGAATAGAGATGGTGAAAGAGAGGGAGCGAGAGGAAGAGTAGTTCTGGAGTGAAGAGAAGCAAAGAGATAAGAGAGAGAGAGAGATAGATAGAGATAGAGCATACTTTAGAGATGAACTAGGTAGACAAAATCAGAGGGTAGTGTTGAACCGTTGGATTAAGTAATCCAACGATGCTCTTTTGTCATTGGAATGCACAAATTGAGCAACGACTCTTTTTCTTCCTCTAATTCAGAAAAGTTTGAAACAACTATAAATTAAACGGATAAAAAAAGGTCATATTTTTACTCCTTACAAATATAAACAACCAATCTCAATTTGAATACACAATTTTCAATCTACATAATTACACAATCAGTATGGAAGGTTCATCAAAAACAAAGAGAGGAAAATCATCACTATTCAAGAAGATATAGCAATTTGTAGAGCTTGGTGTCATATTACTGAAGACCCAATTGTTGGGAATTCACAATCTTATGTCGTTTTTGGGGTAGAATTTTTGAAAATTATTGCTCACTACAGAATGATCACTCAAAAACACAAGTGTCCATCTCATCTCGATGGGGTGTAATCATGAAATGTTATAACAAATTTCGTGGGTGTTTAGCGCAAGTCAAAAATCTACACCTAAGTGGGACTTCTCAAGTTGATATAGTAAGATTTCATCTTCATTTATTATATTAGTTTTTATTTTGTCTCATATAAAAATTAACTAATTAATTAATTAATATTTTAAAGATACAGATGCTTCAAGAAAACTTTTATACCATCAAGATGAAAATAAACATTTTGCTTTTGAACATTGTTGGCTAATCTTGCAAAACAATATTGGGTGGCAAGATGTAACTCCTACAAACACAGTGAAGTCAAGGATACATACACTGCTTTCCCCTAATTCAGCCCCCGAATCCTCTATGGATAGCTGCATTTCTCTTGAAGATGACAACAGTTCAAGTGTTGGTAGCAATCCAACTGTTAGCAATAATCCAATCAGTGAGGGTAGGGTCTCTGCAAGGGGTAAAAGGCTTATGGACAGGAAATCAACAAAAGAATTACTTCGAAAAAATGAAGCTATTCAAGCTGAACTCCACAAATTTAACAATTTGTTGGAGACATTTAACCAACACCTTGCTGAGAAAGAATGAAAAAAACTAAAAGAGAAGATCAAGCATTGTAGGAGATGAGAGAATTTGACATAAAAAAGGAAGAACATTTGATAATGACTACGGTCATTTGTCATTTGGACCCTCAGACGAAAGCATATTACATAATGCAAAAAAATGAGATTTTCGCCAAGTGGTCCGCACATTTTAGCAACCCAAATTACTATTTTCCCCAGCCTCCTGATGAATAATTATGGGAGAATGTATTTTTTAATTTTGCAATGTCATTTATTTGTTAATGTAATTTTGAGTATTTTTTTAAGTTCCAATGTAATTTTGTTTTTGCAATGTAATGTTGACTATTGGTGATGAGAAAGCTTGTAAATCTAAAGTTAAAGAATAGTTTGTCTGTTGCTGAGCACACTAATGGATTCAAAATTTTGCAATGTCATTTATTTGTTAATGTAATTTTGAGTATTTTTTTAAGTTCCAATGTAATTTTGTTTTTGCAATGTAATGTTGACTATTTTTTAGTATAATTTTAATTTTTCAATGTTATTATGAAAAAATACATATATTATTGAAATGAAGGCAATGAAGTTGCAAATGAAGACAATTTTATTAAAATAATAAGATAATAAATGACATTAAGTGTCATTAAAAATATAAAATAAAAACTTAATCGTACTCTCCATATCGGGACCACAAGTGTTTAATTAGATTATTACAAATTGCATTATGGGTTTTAGTAGATCTAATCCTCTAGCAATTCAACATAAATTCCTCATACTCCTGATTTGGATCGCATGACATTTGACATAGGGTATTAGTGGTATCAGTTTGCAGTAGTGTTGCACTGCATTCATTTTCTGGAATATTACGCACGTCTTCAATGATCATGTTGTGAAAAATAATGCACATTTTCATGATGTAGTACAGATCCTTATCACTCCAACCTCTCGTCAGAACTCTAACAATATTAAAATGTACTTGGAGCACTTCTAATGACCTTTCGACATCCTTCTGACATGCCTCGTGCATCCGCGCAAATAGTTGTCTCTTTAAACCTTGAGGTTGAGATATTGTTTTCACAATCATTGCCCAACGAGGGTAGATACCATCAGTAAGATAATATCCCATGGTGTATGCATGATTATTAATGGTATAGGTGGTAGAAAGGGCACGCCCTATAGTTAATTCAGAAAATAAAAGCAACCTGTTAATGACAATAATATTATTCAAAGAGCCAGGCATGCCAAAGAAAGCATGCCAAATCTATAAGTCATAGGAGGTGACTGCCTCGAGTACAATTGTTGGTTTGTGGTAATGTCCATTGTAAGTACTGGCTTGGGCGATTGGACATTTATCCTAACGCTAGTGCACACAATCCAAACTCTCTAACATTCCAGGAAACCTGCGTTGTTCTTTCCCTTGCAATAATCTGGCGACATTTGCGTCATTTGAGGATCTTATGTAATGCCCTCAAAATAAATGCATAAATCAGTCATTCATAACATCCATAGACATAGGAAAATAAAATGTGTTCATTCATCAGAGTATTCTTTACAAAAAGTATTACATGTTGACAACAAAAGTAAATGCCCTGTGGCTTACAAACTTTTCAAGTCAATACTTGGTTACCACAAAAGAGAGTTCTAACTCTTTACATATTAAGCCCTTAGCCTGGAATTACATATAACATCAACAGAATAACAAAAAGGGAGTCTTCAACTCCTAAACCTCGCAAGCTATCTTGGAGGCGGCATATCACCTGCACCTGTAAAATAGTGCCCCAAGTAGGGTGAGCCAAAGCCCAGTAGAGATATGCTAAACCAATTATGAGAAATAACTAAAACATTAGTATTCGATAAATGATCAACACTTGTAAACAATATATCATTTTTTTCAAAATTAACCAGCATTTCCAACCGTATCTCAATTCACTTCCATTTATTATCTAAATCGATTCGTAGACATGTATCATCATTCATCCAAACAAATCAAAATGAGACTACAACTCATATAATCAACACTTCAGTTCATCAACAATTCAAAATGAGACTGCAACTCATATTATCAACACTTCAATCATCAACATCATTCAGATGTATAAAAGGTTTCGGGACTTTCACCCTGGACACTTCGGCCAACTTAATTATCAATGGAGTCCATCCCCTATCTCCTCCCAAACTGTGGAGTACATCCCCTATCTCCTCCCAAACCATGGAGTACATCCCTTATCTCCTCCCAAAGAAAGATACATATGCAATGTATTTAAACACTTCATCATATACAATGATAAATTAATGCACATATTCAATGTATTATTCCAACTGTCACATTCAATGACATATTCCAATTGATTAGTTTCAATTTACATAATCATCATGCAATTCTACAACAATCATGGCTATCCTCCACTGATAGCCCAAAACAGTTATTTCTAAACAGATAATTAAATTTATCAAACAGATAAATTAATACATTTTCCATAGGTAAGCGATTTTCAATCCAACTATACCAATCCATTACATTTTCCCTCAATTCCATCATTTCCAATCCAATTATATATTCCCATAGTTAATTTCATTATGTTGGCAAATAACTCATTTAATCCCAATTAGGGCATTTTCCCCCCTTTCTCAAATAACAACCTTAAGGCTCAATTTCATCATTTATATACAAATAATCCCCTTTTCAAAACCTCATATTCACCATGGAGCCCAAAACCAAGGAACCCCTCTTTTATAATTTCAAATCAAACCCTAACTTTCCCAAAACTCCCAAACACCACCATCTATACGAAATAACCAACATTTATGTCAAAACTCATAGAGAGGAGTAGATTATCCATACCTCGAAGTTAGGAGCCCAAAGGAGAAGAAAAGTGAAACCCAAGATGCTCCAAATCCACAAATTTTCGGATCATTGGGAAGCCCAAGCCAAGCTCTAACTTTCTTACAAAGGGATTAGGGTAGAAAACTCCTAGAACATGGAGTATTTGTAGAGAGAAGGAGTGTGTAGAGAGAGAGAGTGTGCTGGATCTAGGGTTTGGAGATAAAAAGAGATCAAAAAGTGAAGAAGAGAACTGCTGTTGCGATCTGATATATTTGAACCTCGCTCGAGTGAAGGAGTGGTCGCTCGAGTGACCAGACACAAAAGAACCTCGCTCGAGCGCAAGAAGCATCGCTCGAGTGAACAATGCAAAGCTTCAGGTCTGCAACCCAGAAGCATGCTCGAGCGCAAGAGTTCTCGCTCGAGCGAAGAAACACAAAACATAGAGCTCGCTTGCTCGAGCGACAAAAGTCTCGCTCGAGCGAAGAATACCAACCTTCAGGTCTAATCTAGACACAGATGCACGCTCGAGCGCAAGAGTGCTTGCTCGAGCCAAGAGACACATCCAAGAAAGCTCACTCGAGCACAAGAACCTTCACTCGAGTGAAGAAGCAAAAACCCAAGGCTAGCTCGAGCGCAAAAAGCCTCGCTCAAGCGAAGATGCCAAATTCTGGACAGCAACCATTTGTTCCAACTCACAACCAACTTGTACCAAACTCACCTAACACGTCCCAAAACTCAAATACAAAGGATTTAAAGGACGGAAACAAGATATAGGCAACAACAACCATGACGGAATCCAAGTCCGGAACAAAATAAATGACAGGGAAAACTGGGATCGCTATATCTTAAGTAATTGCCTTCATAGATAGCAACAATCATTTTGGTAAAGAAATTCAAGGCGACAATTGCAATAGTTTCGCCGATTCTGATGTACTTGTCTACAGCATCAACAGGTACGCTGTATTGCAGGATCCGAAGTGCAACAGTCATCTTCTGTACACCGAATAATTCAAGAGCACCAGTGGCATCATAGGTTTGGATGAAATACTCATTGAATTGGTGAATATCATATAAGATGCTAAGAAATAATGACCACTTCATTCGAAAATGTCTTCGGAATTATTCTTCTGGGTAGATAGGATTATTTGCAAAGTAATCTCTATAAATTTGTTCATCGCCTTTGACCCTCTCATGATTAATGTGAGGGCCCTGATCTTTGCAATATTTTCTTTATTTATTTGTAGTCCCTCAATTTCTTAATTAATTTCAATTTTAACCCGAAAACATGCGCCAACCGGAAACTCGCAAACCCCAAATTGAACTCGGGAACTTAGGATCCATTTCTAAAACCTTAATAATAATTAAATTAATTTTCTAAGTATATTTTCCACACAAAAACCCTAGGTTTCTAGTTCTTAGTACAATTCGCAGTTTAATTCAAAACAAAGAAACTTTAACTGAATTAAAATTCCATACCTTAAATAAATTAAATACTACACTTAATTAAATGTTCAAATTCATAAATTAAAGCCAAAGCCCCCACATTTTAATCAAATTACAAATTGAACCCAAGTTAGTACTATTATATATATATATATATATATACTTGTACCTTTAAACTTATTTAATAAATTGTACACAATATCTTGAAATAACTATCAAATTATACACAAAAATAAAAAGGAAAGTCTTTCCAAAATCACCATCAATGGCTGGCCACCTTGGGAATAGAAATTGATGCATTCTTTTCAAACATAATCCATGAATTGTGGAAAAAGTATTCTAGTATACCGCAAAACATGGAACCTTGTTTCCACCTCAAGTTTCATTCCAACTAAAGCCTAACTAGATCATGATTAATTTCATAATTAACGCCTCTAATCATCCACTATTCCATTGAATTCAAACCAAATCTAAAATATCCAATCCATTTCCAACCAATGGGCAATTTGGACCTTTTACACCAATTTTATTATAAATAAAACCTCTCTCTTAGTATTTTTGTGTCACGCCCCAATCTCCGTGACAACGCCGCACACTCATATAAGTGAGCATGCAAGGCTAAGAATCCAATCACATGGTAGAGAAAAGGAGAGAAAGAGAACATTTTGTTAGCAATTCAACCTAGCTTCAAGTAAGCTACGATACAACTCTCTCTTTTATTTTCTTTTTTCAAAGGTTAAAATAATATTTTCAGATGTGTTGTAATGGTGTTCTTGTGTTAAACTGAAAAGAATTGAGCCTTATTCCACCCTTGTGTTTTCTCTAAATCGGTGCAAACCTATATTTTTCTACACATAACTCTCATAATTTCTAAAGGAACACCTTCAATATTAAATTTATGAATTTAATATATACTATTTAGCATGTTTTTATTATAACACAAGTGAAAAATTATCCTTGGTTAACCTCTTTTCTTACCTTCTCCCTTATTTCAAGCTTTGTGCTCAAAGAGCCAATTTTTTTAGCCAACTTGCGAAAATTATAAAAAAATGTAGAAACATTTCCTTGACCTCATTTTTACGTCAAAAACTTCCTTAAATGGTTATCTTTCAAGTAAAATTGGTTTCATTAAAAAGAGTGAGCGGTTTGAAAGAAAATCTAATTTTTGTAACGATCAACGAATTGAACAACACTAGAGTGTTTCTTGAATAACTAAAACTCTAGAAAAGATATGAAACTTCTAAAAGATGTTCTAAGAACTAGACAAAATTCTCTACAAACCATAGGAAAGCCAAGTTTAGGGGAAAAAAAAAAATCTAAAAATGCCTTTTTGTTTACAATCTTTATGACAATGCAAATCTTGAAATTTACATTCTTGTGTGATATTTTTCCCTTAACTTCATGGATATGCCTAGAACTACTTGTGCATATTTTGCTATGTTAATCTCATGTGTTGTAACTTTGTTTCCTTCCATTTGTGCTATGAAGTTGTTCATATTTATTGTCATGACCCGAACCCACCCCTATGAATTATGATCATAACTAGCTAGTAATCATGAGATTACCTATGTCCTCAGACAGAAATCAAAACATATTTAATATGAGGGGCGAAAAGCGGAAGCAAAATGCAAAGATTGTCCAATGAGCTTGTGCATATATGGCATGAAACAAAAACTTTTCACATATGTATCTAATAACTCACACATCAGATGATTATAGTGTTCATGTTTCAAGGACCATTCAAACGTTCCTTCACGTGCAAAGCTTATACAATATTTATATAAATGGTCAAGCGACCAACAAAAAGAAACAAAAGGGTCAAAAGATTAAAGGATTAAAAAAAACAAAGCCTCTTGTGTGAGGCGTCATGGGCTAACTCCACAAAACATGGTTCTTTTACAAGTTCACTAGGGCTGGGGCTAGACATCCTACTGCTCACCTGCATATATATAGATAAAGAGTGAGCTAATGCACAGTGAATAATATCAGAGTAAAGAGGTTTATGAATGAGATTCATGTATAAATAGATCTCACTTGTACTTAATACATATGGAATACAATTCCCATTCACAATATACTTAAGCAAATTATAACAGAATGACCTCGAGTCCAATCCACTATACTAACAACATGTCAAAGGGATGAAACGACCTTGGGTCCAACATTTTTGAATTCATATTCATGCGCACTTTTATAATCATGATCATGTTCACATTCGTATTCATAATAACCTTCGGTCCATTTAACAAACATACAAAACGACCTTCGGTCCAATTCATATATAAGATGACTTTAGGTCTATCTTGTCAAACATTCTAAACGGGCTTAGGCCCATTCCGTGTTCTTATCAAATATACCAAACGGCCATGGGCCCAGTTCATATTCTCATCAAACATACCAAATGGCCTGGCTCATTTCATATTCTCATGAAACATACCAAACGGCCTTGGGCCCATTTCATATTCGTACTTATCAGTCACTTTACAAATTCTTTTACGAATCAAGCAGATAGAATACTCATTCATTGTACAAATTCATAAGTTCTAAAAACATGCCTCATAGGTAATATTTAGAAAATAACATACATGAAAATATCTTTACTAAGATATTACTCACAGTGCTTAGTTGGCTGATTCGTTCTCAGAGTTGACCCTACACAATTCATAACACATACATAAATTGGGTCACACTACAATTCAATCTATTCTCAAATTCATTTATCTTTCTTAAGCTTCTTTCTAACTCTTTAGTTCATTTAGGTTGCTTAATATGTGTCTAAGAATGCTTAGAAATGAAAAAAAATAAAATAAATAGAAATCGGAACATAATGCAACTTTTCAAAGTTTCTTGAAACAGGGCACTTCACTCGAGCATAACATTGATCGCAAGAGCGAACCCCTTGGTCTGCAAAAGTACTAGATGTTCTAATTTTATGCTCGAGCCAACTTCTTGGTCGCTTGAGCCAAGATTGAAAATAAAGGGTGGTTGCTAGAGCGGTCTTTTGGTCATTCGAGCCAACCTCCAATGTCTGCAAAAGTACTAGGAGCTCGAAATGTATGCTCAAGCGATACTTCCATTGCTTGACCGAACTGCTCGAATTCTGGAATTTCCCGAATTCTATTTGAGCGTCAAACACAAGTCCAAGGCTTCAAATTCATGCATGACTCACTCAAACATGCAAGAACACTCCCAAATACATATATCTGGAGCTAACTTCAACCCATAGTTCAAAACTTCATGAATTCAACAAGATTCAAACCTTAAACTTTATGGTTGTAAAATCTATGTTTTATATCTTGCATTCACAAGCTTCAAGGCTTAAAATTGGACTTCAAAACATAACAATTCATGCATGCATGTGTCAAACAATTCTCAATTCCACATGGATTATATGATTCATGTTGTATAATGAGATTTCATAACAAATTCATTTATGCTTGTGTAAATTGATATCAGATTTATCAAACTTCGCTTGATTCATGTGCTTAACTTCATAGCCTTCTTGAATTTACATTTATGTGGCTTAAGTTCATGAATTAGAGTTCAATTACTCACCTAGAGCCTTTAATTCTTGCAATCTAGCAAGTTCTTGAGCCTAGCTTCCCAAATCTTCACTCTTCAAGTCAATCCCTTCAAGTTCTTGCCTTCCTCACTCTACAATGGTGCTCTCTCTCTCTCTCTCTCTCTCTCTCTCTCTCCCTTCCTCTATAATGTATAATCTCAGGACATTGATGAAGATGAGCTCAATTTTGTGAGCCTAAGCACTATTCTTATCATATATAGCTAGTGATTTGCTTATGCTAATTAAGCTTGATTAAGGCTAAGCAATCTTACTTAAGTTTAATCAACTTAATCTAATTAGTTTGATCCAAATCAATTTTAATTAAATTTCACTGTAGGCTTTAAAAATTATGCTAATCACAATGGTATAGTCAATTTTGGTTTCTGTCTTCTCTATGGCCCTCAATTTCAGTTTATTATAGAATACCGAACATATTTTCCTACGATGACCATATATGAATTCAAAAGTGCATATAATCACATGCTTAGCATGCAAAATTATATTAAGCACATAATCACAAGTGTAATTAAAGATTAATGGCATAACACAGAACGAGGTTGTCATATTCTTCCTCCCTTTAGGAATTCTGGTCCTCAAAACTTATGTTACCTTTTGTAGACACCCCATTTTTGACTGTCCTTAAGACTTGGACGTCACCATTTGAACACTCGGTGATCATCCATGTTCATGTTCATCTTGAGTTCTCGGAGGTCTCGGCCACGCGCCTTGCCTCAAGACCTCTCGACTTGCCTGTTTTGTGTTTGGTTTTTCACCAAACACTTGTGTTTTGCTTTTGAGGAGTAGGGAATGGCTTGTTGGCCATCCCCACATCTCACCAGCCATGGCTTGAGGCCACCGACCATTGTTTTGTTGCCATCGGCCAAATGTTTGGTCGGTTGGCACTCTGTTTGGTTGGTCGACCATTTATTTGGTCAATTTGGCATTTTTGGCTGGCCGACCACTGTGCATCTGCTTTTGGCAGATATTTTGTGCCAACTGTGCTAGCTGGCACCCACTTTGCATTTCACTCTTGCTTAGCTTGTTTTATAAGCTTTGCAAGAGTGATCCTCTATAAAGGGAGGCCTTCTCCTCCCTT